AATTGGTAAGAATCTGGGCGCTCTTCTGCACTAATGCACATCTGCAAGTTTCACTTTCTGTTGTATGTTACGGCGTAGATTTCATATGTGTTTGTGTGAAGCAATGCAGTGTATGAAAGCACATGTCTGTGTTTAAAAGCAGCTGCTGTATTCATATGAGAGAGGGTGAGATATACTTTGAGTCCAATGGCTTTTGAATGTTATCATAGGTTTAAATTTAGCAGCTTACTTATAACTGAATTTAACTCCTTTTGAATTGTATGTCACAAGTTTGACTTTTCTGAAAGATCCCTGTATGTCTATGTAGTTACTTCATTATTTATGCATTAGTGTATCACAGTACATGTGAATGTGTAGAGAGGAGAGGGATTGTTTTTCTAAAGATAGTGCTTCTCTTTGTAACATCGCTGACTCTCTGCCATTTCAGCTCTGTCATTTGTTAACTCTAATCCTTTACTTTGTTCTTTCAGCTGACATAAATGATGGAGCAGAGTAGTATGTCTGCAAATCTGTGATTTACTACAGCTATATAATTTAATGTAACTCAGGGTTAGCTAACCTTGCAGTTTAGGATCTCTATATAAAAGTGTCAGCAACACTTTAGAATAAGGTCCCATTTGATAACATTAGTAAATGGCTTAGCTAACCTGAAATGACAATCAGAAATATATTTTTAAAGTGTTTATTAATCTTTATTCATGCTAGTAAAAAATATCGGTTCAAACTTGATTATACATTGTCTATATATACATGCTATATACACATACTTACTATAGTAATAACAGTAAATGCATGCAACTAAACATGCAACTAAACCCTAAAACAAACCATAATTCTAACCATAACCCTAAGTACATGTTGTGCCTAGAACTTGTTCATTATTTCTTAGTTCACAGTGCATTAACTAATGTTAACAATGACTTTTAATTTGAAAATGTATTGGTAAATGTTGAAAATTACCTATACATGCTGTAGAAGTCTTGTTTATTGTTAGTTCATGTTAACTAATGTAGTTAACTGATGTTAACAAATGAAACCTTATTGTAAAACATTACCAAAGTGACAATACTCAAAACGCCATTTTATTACCATTATCATAATTTCAGAACATTTGTATTTACAAGTGCATCTTTATAACATTATTCTGATTATTCTTCTGATTAACAGATTTTGATCTGTCTAAAGAAGTCTGAAAATAAACAGTTCTTATCATATATAAACTGTAATCTAAATTAAAATTCTCCATAACGCATCAAATCAAGTTGAAACTAAAATCATCCTCCTCAGTTAATAATTTTTATTGAAAAGCACAGTTCTTGAAACCTTTGACAAAACTAATTGTGCTTAATGTATTATAATTAAAAAAATTTTAAGTCAGAAAACAAGCAGCTTTGTCAGATTTACAGAAGAACTACCTTAGAAATGTGTGTTAAACAACAAAAGAAAAAAAGTCAAAGTTTGTTCGAATCCATTTCTGCCTCAAAGTATAAAAAATAAATAAAATATATTTGTGACACTAATTCCCCTCTTTCCAATTCCAGAGCCAACAGATAATGCCAGTGTCAACTTTGTTAAATACAAGGGTGACTATTACGTCAGCACAGAGACAAACTACATGCACAGAGTGGATCCAGATACTTTAGAGTCTAAACAGAAGGTATGAACGATTACCAGTCTATAGCCACCAGCCTATAACCCATCATGTCTAAGTAGGATTATTATCTGTAGGTGGACTGGAGCAAGTTCATCGCTGTGAATGGTGCTACTGCTCATCCACACTTTGACCCAGACGGCACAGCTTACAACATGGGCAACTCATACAGAAACAAAGGTTAGACTCCTGTCTTCTTCTTGTGTGCTGATCAATCTAAGTGCAATGTCACTATAGGATTAGGAGGCTTGATGTTGTGCTGTGGTGTGTTTTATAGGGGCTTTCTATAACATCATCAGGGTGCCACCAGAAAGAGACGGCCCAGAAGATAACCTAGAGGGAGCCAAGATATTATGCTCTATCGCCCCTCGTGACAAATCCAAACCCTCCTATTATCACAGCTTTGGTGAGCGAAGACGAGAATCTGTCGTGTTTATTATCATCATATCTTCTAGACAGACAGATTTTCATTCTGCATTCTCATGAAGAATGACTATCATGTGTGATTTTATTACACAGCTACTGTAATAGAGTCATGTGTAATTTTACTGCAAGGCACTCTGAATGGTGTAATCGTATAGTCTGAATAGAGCAATCATATCAATGTGCGGCACTGAAAAGCCCTCCTTTTATTTTCCTGAAACTTTCAGGCATGTCAGAGAACTATGTAGTGTTCATCGAGCAGCCCATTAAGATGGATCTGTTTAAGATAGTGACTGGTAGACTAAGGGGGAAATCGCTAAATGAGGGTGTTTACTGGGACCCCAACCAGGAAACCACATTCCACCTTATTGACAAACAAACTGGAAAGGTGAGACAACAATCTTGACAATAGTCTCACAGAGGCACTGAGAACAATGAGGAGCAGATGCTTGAAGCATATGAGTTTATTCATATGTTTGTTTGCTGATTATACTTTATATGGTGCAATGAAAGCTGATTGAGAACATAAAGACAATATCAGATTATTTTTGATATTTTTATCCCTCAAACATACTGTTTTTATTCAGTATGCTTGCATCTTAACCAACTACTCTGCATCTCTCTGCAGGAGATGCCAGTGAAGTACCATGCCAAGGCCTTGTCCACCTTCCATCAGATCAATGCTTTTGAGCAGGATGGATTCCTCATGCTAGACATGTGCTGCTCTGACGACGGACAGGCCATAAACAACTTCCTCGTCCAGAACCTGCGTCAGTCAGGAGAGGCTTTGGATGAGGTAATGTTCTTCCTTAAAGGGATAGTTCACCCAAAAATGAAATTTCTGTCATTAATTACTCACCCTCATGTCGTTCCAAACCCGTAAGACCTTCGTTCATCTTCGAAACACAAATGAAGATATATTTGATGAAATCAAAGAGCTTTCTGACCCTGCTTAGACAGCAACGCAACTGACGCGTTCAAGGCCCAGAAAGGTAGTAAGGACATTGTTAAAAAATAGTCCATGTGACATCAGTGGTTCAACCGTAATGTTATGAACCATGACGTATGTGTCTGCCTTCCTCTGCTTGTAAACAAGGTACAAGGTACACACATGCGTGGTACTTTCGTGAATGCACGTCGAAGACTGACATAAATTGTTGAATAAAGTCGTTATTTTTGTTTTCTTTTGCACACAAAAAGTATTCTTGTAGCGTCATTAAATTCAGGTTGAACCACTGATGTCACATGGACTATTTTAACGATGTACTTACTACCTTTCTGGGATTTAAACGTGTCAGTTGTGTTGCTGTCTGTGGAGGGTGAGATCTTGGATTTCATCAGAAATACCTTAATTTGTGTTCTGAAGATCAACGAAGGTCTTACGGGTTTGGAACGTCATGCGGGTGAGTAATCAATGACAGAACTAACCCTTTAAACTCTTATTTGTCTTAATAATGGTATTAATAATGATAACAACAACATCAACAATCACAGATTTACATAATTTTACATACTGTAATTTTCAAATTCTTATTTTTCCTGTCCCTCTCTTTCTCTCAGATGTATAACACCATGAGCAGGCCACTGCCCCGTCGTTTTGTGCTGCCTCTCAACATCAGCAGTGAAACCCCACTGGAACAGAACCTCAACACACGGCCTGACAGCACCGCTACCGCTGTCTGCCGTACCAAAAATCAGGTGCTGTCTTTATGCTTGCTACCAGAGGTGTAAAGAGTACCTAAAAACCATACTTGAGTAAAAATACAGATACCTCACAGTGAAAATTACTCCACTACACGTTACAAGTCACCAATTCCAAAACAGCTTGAGTAAAAGTCTTAGAGTATCTGATTTTAACAGTACTTAAGTATTTTACTTGTACTGAATATTGGCTCAAAGATGCACTAGTCAAAGAGACATGCCAGTGAAAAACTGTAACGTTGTGGAGAAGCTGCAGAAAATAGGCAGAGGCAAGGATCTATGTGCAGGTATTTAATGGAAAAACTAGAACAAACAATAAGGCAAAAACCAAAGGGAACAAAGAACAGAATGACAAACAGACACCCATTACATTTAACAACTCACAAGGAACTAAAGAAAAACTAGGGCTATAC